AAACTGCATTTAACTTTTAATTCTGAATAATTATATGTTGTAAACACATTGATACCAATCAACATTTGGAAGAGCTTTAATATACATATTGATTCATTACAAAACTACTTAAGTCCACTGCTAAACATAGGCCTTCTCATAAATTGCTGATGTCTTTGTCCTTGGTTAACTTTCGGTAACAAATAAAACGATATAATAAACAAAGTAATAAAATGCCACGTCACATTAGATAAACCACGTTACACGAAAAGAAGTTATATTGTAGGATATTGTCCTGTCGCCGATGTGTCACTTCGAAGCGCTCACGTGATTATGCTACTTTAACTTTAACAGGCGCTTCTTATAATTTCAATTTGTTTTATAGTAGTTGTCATGCTTGGTTCGGCTCTTTTTAATTATTTCGGTTTCTTTAATTTAAATAAAAAGACTACTAATGCTATTAACATTACTAATATTCCTGTTAAGCTTAAATGCTTGTTTTAAGAGTGGTTCACGACATTAGTTGGATGGCGAATTTCAATTAATTTAATCGGACACTTATTGGTTTTGACAACCGTAGTTTTTGAAGTGAAAACTTCTTTAGCAGCGACACTAAAAGTGACAAATATCTATACTACTATACTAATATTATAAAGAGAGAATGCGAATTTTATGGGTTTGTATATATGTGGAAGGTAATCTCCGGAACCATTGCACCTATTTGAAAATTTCTTTCACCATTTGATAGGTACATTATTCCAGATGGTCATAGGCTATATATGATGTGTATAAGTTTACATTATGGCTAAAAGTTATGTTGATATTTGTCAACTCAGCCGGAAAAAGTCGTGCCTCCTGAGAGCTTCCTCAGCGTGCGCTGCATTTATAGTTAAAGTTGCACCAAAATAATGTATGGCTGAATTATTCCTATTAAAAAGTTCTAAAAAAGTCCCCGGCAGCATATGTCTATCTTCTAATGGACGCTACACACGGTCAATTTAAAATGATCAGTTGAACTGACGCACATTCAAAAACTGACCGTGAGTGTGGTGGAATCTTAAGTTGAAATTTTCAACTGACGACACAACCCACGGTTTTTATCAGTCGCACTGTCAGTTGAAACTGCTCAGTCGATTTAACGTAAATCCAAAAACTGATCGTGAGTGCGAAATCTTAAGGCCGATTCGTAAACTGGCGAAATTTTGAAACTTTGACTGATGGCATTCTTTTACGTAATGTTGTATCTCCACGGAGTTTTCCGGGCGTGCCGTAATCCGCTGGCTTCAATTCGTTTTATTAATATAATCTAAATATTATTAGATTTCTGTGGTGCACGATGATCGAAACAGGGTCGCACGTATGGCTATGATGGAGCGGAATAATAAAAAAATTATTACGTTTCTTAAGATTCTGCAAACAGAGCAATGGTTGTGGGACCCGAGACTCAAAAGTTTTAAGAATCGTACAGCGCAAAATGATGCTTTGCGACGAATTATCCAATTATTATCTTTTAATACAACTATCGAAGAATTAGAAAGGCGAAGAAAAACCTTATTATGGGTTTTTATAGAACCATTTTAAACAAATATAAAAAGTATTCAAGGAACATTTTATGCAATCACCGCATTTTTTTAGCAAGAAGATTTAGATACCATTATGCGATCCGATGATATATATATTGTTACGCGCCACTGTTGATGTCTGGTACATGGCACTAGCGCCATCTATTATCGATTAGAAGAGCTAAGCTTTCTAGATAACTCCACACTCGAATTTTCTACATCTGGTCGGTAGGGGGCGGTATTTGCTGGAATATTTTAGATGTTTCGGTGAAAAAGGCCTATATAAAGCCGTTTAGGGCCGCGACCGAGGCAGTATTGAATTGGTGACACAAGCGAAGTTTTCGGAGCGAAATAAAGTGTTAAGGTTGATTAATTATTAGTGCGTTTTGAGTTTTAATTTTTGTCAGTAATTAAAGTGTCAGATTTGGTAATTTAATCGGCAGTTTTTGTTGTCACGAACCCTAAGCTCGTAATATATAGTCGTATATATATATATATATATATATATATATATATATATATATATATATATATATATATATATATATATATATGTGTGTGTGTGTGTGTGTGTGTGTGTGTGCGTGGACGCGCGCGCGCGACGTGTGTGTGTAATCACAGAATAAATTAATAGTACGTACTGCTTGTGGTTGGTTAGCTGATTCTGTGCCTGATCTCTTTCCGATCGTGTCGGATAGTCTGACCTAGTAAAAAGAGCTGAGGTACTGCGTCATATTACTCGGCCACTATCTCAATCCGTGTACAGCGCCAAGTCGGATTAATAAAGTAATAAAGTCAAAATTGTAAGTTGTTCTACGATGAATACTATAAACTTAGAGTATACATACCTAAGTGCCTATGTATACGTATACTCTAAAACTTTAGCTACTGATTTTACACTTGACTTCTTTCGCAGGTATATTTATAGTTGGAGCAAAAAGAACACCTTTTTGTAGCTATGGCGGACATTTGCGAGATTTTCCAGCCTCGCATATTTTTGCTATCGCGGCTAAAGACGCAATGCGTTCCGCAAATATAAATCCGGATATTATAGATGCTACAGTGGTGGGGAATGTAAACTATGTAAGTTTAAATAATAGTAATATTAAACTAATAGTAGCTAATTGCTAATACTTGCTAAGGCTTTATTTATTACAGTTAAGTCAGTGCGATGGCGGAAAGACTCCTAGGTACTGTGGTACATATTCGGGAGTCCCGATAGAACGACCAGCTTTGGGAGTTAACAAGACATGTGGCACAGGACTGCAAGCTATTATTAACGGCAGCCTAGTAAGTATTATTTTGAGATTATCTAAAATGTTCTTAAATAAAAGATATTTAACATTAAAAAGTAAGACGCTTATATAGCGGGTGACCATTTTCCCATTTTTGGTTTAAATGTATAGGTCAATCGCGCGTCAATATAACACCTAGTATAATTTTTTTTTGTTTATTAGTATACACATTATATTTCTCTCACTCTCATCAGCCTGTAAACTGACCATTTGCTAGACGTTAGACTTTGACTTTACACTTTGACTATACACGCTTACTGGACACTCCACAGAACTTGCGGCCATACTTGCCAGGCGTAAAGTGGCAGTGGCGTTCCTGCAGGAGACACGGGAGCAACGGAGAATGAGGAGGCTATTGTGGGGAGAACGGTGTGGCAGTGGTGCTCGCCGAGCATTTCCACGATAGCGTCTTGGAAGTTAGACACATATGCGACCGACTTATGGTAGTAAGGTTGCTTGTTGAGGGGGTCGTTACCCACTTAATAAGTGCCTACGCCCCACATGTTGGCTGCAGAGACGCGGATAAGACTCTGTTTTGGGATCGGCTCGGAGATGTACTACGCGACATACCGTTGTCCCACGATGTCGTGTTGGGTGGCGACCTGAACGGTCATGTGGGCGAGATGCAGGGGTAGTATGAACGTGTCCACGGCGGCTATGGTTACGGCTGAAGAAATGCAGAGGGGGAAACCATTCTCAGAACCTGCACTGCAGCTGACCTGGGCGTCGTGAACACGTTCTTCAAAAAGAAAACCGAGCACCTGATTACCTACAGGAGCGGTCGGAACGCCACTCAAATCGACTATCTACTGACCAGGAGAAGTCATATCAGTCGCGTGGCTAACTGTAAGGTCATACCCGGTGAGTGTCTCACTGCCCAACACCGACTTCTTGTCTTGGACCTCTGCGTAAAACCCCGTCGCAGACACGCCGAACGTTGGCGCTGTCAAATCAAGTGGTGGCTGTTGGATCAAACCAGATACTACAGAGTTTGACTCTGCCGCTGGGGATATTAGTCTCGGCACAGCAGGCAAGTCCGTCCAAGAGTGCTGGAAAACCATTCAGACAGCAATCACAAAGACGGCAAAGCAAGTCCTCTGCGTGGCGAAAGGGGGTAAAATCGACAAGGAGACCTGGTGGTGGGACGCCACAGTCAGGGGTTCATTACGGGAGAAGAAAGCGCTCTTGAAGACGTGGCAAGCGACCAAATCTCCTGAAGATCGTGCATCTTACAAGACAGCGAAAAGAGCTGCCAAGAAAGCTGTAGCCGTGAAGGCGTGTAGGCGTGACCACTTGCAACCATTATATGCTAAGTTGGACACTCCTGAGGGGCACAAGCTCATATATAAACTGGCGCACTCTAGGGCCAAAGCAGCGCAAGATATTACTCGCTGCTGCAGCGTCAACGGCCCTAATGGCGAGCTCCTGTACGATGATCGTGCGGTGAAGGAGAGATGGTGCTCTTATTTCCACGTTTTGCTGAATACTCAGCACCGGGAAGTGCACCCTCTCGAACAACTCCCGAACCATGCACTGGTGCCACCGATTACGCCTGACGATGTCCTCGCATCTCTTCGTCACATGGAGAATCGGAAAGCTGTCGGACCGGACGGTGCCAATTGAAGCGTGGAAAGCGCTGGGGGCTCGTGGCGTGTGCATTCTTACTAACCTTTATAATAGAATCCTGAGCGACCGAATAATTCCCGATCAGTGGCGGCTTAATATAATAACGCCGGTCCACAAGGGTAAAGGGTCCGTTCAAGATTGCGGTAATTACCGCGGTATAAAGGTGACGTCACACACCATGAAGCTCTTCGAGCGCATTAATGACACCAGGATCCGACGAGCAGTATCAGTTTCCACCAGGACGCGGTACCATGGACCCAATATTCGCCCTAAGGATCCTCACGGAGAAGCATAGGGAAAAGAATATGCCTCTGCATTTTTTATTCCTAGATCTGCAGAAGGCCTTTGAATGTGTTCCTAGGGAGATGAACTGGTGGGCGTTGCGGTCGAAGTTGGTACCAGAGACCTACGTGGAAATCGTACGTGATATGTACCGCAACTCCGATTCAATAGTCACGACCGCTGTTGGTGAAACCACCCCCTTCCCCATAACCGTAGGCGTGCATCAGGGCTCCGTCTTAAGCACCTATCTCTTCAGTGATATATTAGACGAACTGTCAGCCAGCGTACAGAAACTACCGCAGCCTTGGCTGCTTATGTACGCTGATGATATCGCACTGGTAGATGGGGACAAAGGACGGCTCACCAGACGCGTGCACGCATGGAGGGAGGCGCTTGAGAACGGCGGGCTGAAGCTAAATGTGGCGAAGACGGAGTATATGGCCTGCAACAGCACAGATCTGACGTCTCTCCGTATAGGCGACGGACGACACCGTCGAGCGCACGGACAACTTCAGGTACCTCGGATCTGTGCTTGATGCGTCCGGGGACATTGATCGCGACATCAAGGCCCGTATATCAGTGGCCTGGGAGAAATGGCGCGAGGTGACGGGTGTCATTTGTGACCCCAAAATGCCGGTCAAGCTGAAGGGACAGGTCTATAAGACCATCATAAGGCCTGTCCTTACGTACGGCAGTGAAGCGTGGCCGGTGCTGGAGCGATACCGGCAGTTGTTGCATGTCACGGAGATGAACATGCTGCGGTGGATGTGTGGCGTCACGCGGAAAGACCATATATGGAATACATACATCCGCGGCAGCCTCCATGTTCGTGACATTGCTGACAAGCTCCAGGAAAGTCGCCTCCGCTGGTACGGCCACGTCTTCCGACGACCGGCAAGCTACGTGGGAAACAAATGCCTGGACATGACCCTACCTGGTACCAGGAGTAGAGGACGGCCCAAGAAGCGCTGGCTTGATGTCGTGCAGGATGACATGCGCGCCAATGGGCTAGTTGCGAGGGACGCCGAAGACCGGGCAAAGTGGAGGAGGAAGTGTAGAAAAGCGGACCTTGGGTTCTCCCGCGCTGGGCGGGATGAGCAACCGGGATAAACGCTAGGTAGAAGAAGAAGGAGACTTTGACTATACACCAGAGGTTCGATTTTCCGAATTAATTGGGGGACATAGGTGTTCGGAAAACCGGTTTGTTCGAATAATCGAACTGTATTATTGTATGTACAATAGTAATAAAAACATATTTATAATATGAAGGGCACAGGAAAAAAAGGAGCTCATTAACATACTCATTGTTTCAAGTAATCAAAGGATTAAACCTAAAATTTCAATTTCTACACTTACACCTCTAGTGGAATTTGATTTGTACATTATATAAAAAAGGAACAGAGTATATTTAACATAATAGGTTATTATTTTAAGACATTGGGTTGGTAAAATAATAATAGTTTGACCTTTAATTGCCTAACTCCCGAATGTAACTGGCAAGAAGGTGCTCATTGTCACAATGATCTCCTTTTTACATTTTACAACTAAAATGGTGATCATAAACAATGTCTAATATACCTATCTATAATCTGTTTTTTCTGTTTACACACTAATGAAATAAAACACATTAATTGGCATGAAATTTTATTTGTGGGATAAATTCGTGTAATATATAATACTTTCAGGGGAACAAAACTTTTTTAAGTCCTGAAGGTCACTATATTTTTCAGCAGAAATTGGCAATTTATCTGTATACAACCTTCCAGGCAAAATGAATTCATTGTGCTGTACAGTGTTTATCTTACTGGTTTTCTTTTTACTTCCACTGATGCAAGCAGACTCCCAGGGCCCATTATAAGTAGAGCGGAAGCCTATTTTGGTACTCAACTTGTCAATTTTGAGAACTTTTATAGGGCGCGAAGGGAAACATTACTTTTTAGCATAAATTGTGTCCAAATGGCTAGTCCATGATCTGAAATAAGATGTGTCCACCTCTATGACTTCAAATGGACTCGGCTTACAGCGGGCATTTTGGAAAATTTCGGTCCAATTCGATGGAAGTTCTGCTCTGGTCTTAGATCTCACCAAACCCATATTTTTATCGCACTCCATATACGAGTGGCCTCTCACTGGAAACGTCATAGTAATTCTTTCCAACTTTTTCTCTTTATGTACTAAGTGATGCAAGAAACGGAACATAGTAAAATTTTTATTTTGCCCTCCGCAAGAGTCACAAAATATTTGAAGGTGAGTTGTAGTAGGCTTCATGTAGTTGTAGACGAAGTGATGGACAAGTGAGCACATATCATCGCTTCCTTTTTTACCTTCCGTTTCTGGATACAGGTAAAAGATGCTTTGTGATGAAGATAGTACATGCACATTGAAAGCATACACTGATAGCTGTCGTTTATTAGGGTTCTGTAGTCAACTAGGAACCCTTATAGTTTCGCCATGTCTGTCTGTCCGTCCTCGCTTAATCTCTGTGACCGTTACCACTAGAAAGCTGAAATTTGGTACCAATATGTGTATCAATCACGCTGACAAAGAGGTAAAATAAAAATTGGAAAAAAATGTTTTATTAGGGTAGCCCCCCTATATGTAAAGTAGGAAATGATTTTTTTTAATTTCAACCCTAACGTGTGATATATTGTTAGAAAGGTATTTAAAAATGAATAGGGGTTTACTAAAATCATTTTTTGATAATGTCAATAATTTCGGAAATAATCGCTCCAAAAGTAAAAAACAATGTGTCCCCCCCCTCTAACTTTTGAACCATAAGTTTAGAAAATATGAAAAAAATCTGAAAAGTAGAACTTTATAAGGACTTTCTAGGAAAATCATTTTGAACTTGGACGGAAACAACAGTATCCACTACCGGGGCAGTTGCAGGGGCGCGGAGCGCTGCTGGAGCGCGAACATAATAGATACCCACCTTTAAACTCATAAGTGGGAACACTTATTGTGACGGACGGGAAACTACGGAACCCTACACTGAGCGTGGCCCGACACGCTCTTGGCCGGTTTTATAATAAGTATCGTTTGTTTGTATGTTAGGAGCACACAGATTTTTATCATAGTCAAAATATATTGACTCCATTGAACTGCCTGCTTCTCTACTTTGCAACCTTGCCATCCGTTTTCTGTAGTAAAAAGTGCTTGCTTGTAGCTTATGTAATTTGTTTTGATTACTTCCTGACTTCCTCTTTTTTGTAGTCCTATAAACATAATTTTTATCACAATCATTACAATTATTGTCCATTTTCGTATAAACAAGCAAAACTTAATGCACAATCTACCGCGTCGTAAAATTTCAGAAAGGAAGCCATTTCTGATTATTCAAAGTACTCTGTGAAGGAAGCTTATCTGACTGCTCACTTGTATGGCAAAAAAGTTAAGATGGCCGGCTATGAGCGCGTTCTCTGTTACAACCGCTGCGATCAGCCTGTTCTAGCTTGGTTTGATAGATAATGGGCACCTTTTAACTTGGTATGAAATGTAATGAGCGCGTTTTATTCTAAAGTAAGTTTTTTTTAATGGACTTTACGCAAAATCAGCCCCTTTTATCAAGTTTAAAATAACGTGCTCTGATTGGCCATAGAAAAACGAAGTAAATGGTGCAGTTAGTTCAAAAAGGTAAAATTGTTAATTAGCTCCTTTTTTCCTGTGCCCTTCATATGTAATATAAATTTAATTTATTACAGTTGTAATACGAGCTAAAGCATTGATACGATTATTTACTTTACACAAGGTGCCGCTAATTCACGACGCGAGGCAAGAGTTTTTCGTGGCAAAGCCTTCCAATTGAGTCCAGTTTCGTCAGGATTGTAAACGTTTTCTAAAACATAATTGTCATGTTTTAATACGTCGCTTAATTTGATTTCAAAAGAATCAGCTGCTGAAGAACCAGCAGATAGCTTTTCTTCTTGTATTTGAACCTACCGAACGACCTTAAGGCGCTGTACATAGTCAAAGTAGGAAAACATTTTTTTAGGAAAATGTATACATTTATAGACCTGCAAAAAATATATGTTAATCTTGATCATATACATTGGGGGACCATTGTATTCAAAACACGTTTTCGGTAAATTTTCTCGATAGAAAAAATCATAAAAAATCCATTAAAAATGAAACGTTCGGTCTGCCGACGCTCGCTACAATATATCGCGTAAGAAATCTGCAAGACGCCACCTACTGGTACGTAGTATCATTTTTTCAATGTCAGTGAACTATTTTATGGAAATAGACACGGCAGACAATGATAAATGTATTTTAATTTTCTTTATTCGGTATATTAGTTGCATTATATTAGAATTATGTATTCTCATATATTATCTAATTAATAAAAATGACTATTTTGATTATTTTTAACTATATACTATACTGCTAATATTGAATTAGCTTTTTTATAGTGTAAATTATAATACTTGTCGAAATGTTAATTATGGATTCGAACTTTACATGCTAATGGTGCTTCATTTTTGTTATTTTCATTTACTTACATATTGAAAATATTCTTGAATACGTAGGTAAATAATATTATTATTTTATTTAGCTACTGAATTTTAGGATATTTTTTACCTTGAGGTCAAATATAATTTTGAGGAGCAATAGTTACTACTAATCTTTTATCTGCTATTCCTTATTTAGGAACAATATTAGTAAATTGAGTTTGAGGGAGATTTACTGTTTATAATGCTATATTTATTATTTTAATATTTACCTACTGGGTAGGTAATTATTAAAATATTAAATGTAGTTTATTTTTTTCATTATATAAAAAATTTCATATATAAAAAAATAAACTATGTAATAATACGTAAGAATTTAACGGAATAAAAGTAAGTGAACTTTGCATAATACATCAAATTACTTACAGAATTTCATTCATCTTTAGATCATTTTGACGTCGTTGACGTTTATTCTTCTTGAATTTTGGCATTTGCAATAATCAATCCACAAAATTATATTTTCATAATCGTAGCGTCTTTTTGTAGTAAAAAAAACACGTAAGCGCATCGGTTGGTAGGTACTCAAATAATATTATGTTTGCGGCGAAATACGGAACGTCGACGATGACGACGAACGACACAGCTACCTCGTACGAACGCATACAGCGTAATGCCCACAGACTACTACGGGATACTACGCATGGTAATGCCGCCCGCACTCTGCGCACGCTTCTTTATCATAGAATTCACACAATTTTTGGAATTATTTCAATAACCGCTAGCTCAGAAAGAACAGCAAACAGATAAAAAAGAAAAACGAACTTAAAAAAATAAACAAAACGTGGAGAATATAGATTTTTAAATTATCTATCCATTAGTGTAATCCTCAAATGATTAGAGCGTTGCGTTTAGCAACAGATGCATGTAATCAAGAATTTTAGTCATTTTTTAAAAGTTGATTTTAAATGTATTTATAGCACATAAAAACAAATTAGAACGTGGAATGTTATCATAAGATATCGAACATTTATAATGTGCTTTTAGACGTAGTTTACTTTTCATAACTAATGAGATAATAGTCTGAAAAACGCACTTTCGCAACATTTTGGTCAAGGATACACCTTAATGTTTTGCCTTTTCACATAGAACGGCATCAGAGATAGGTTCTCCTTGTGATTTTTTTTGTGTAAATCACTTGTAAACAGCGTCATCGAGATCGGTGTCCGTGGCGAGCTTCATAGTTTTACGACTTGTCGATCCATCGATAAGATCATGTTTGGATATAAAATTGGATATGGTCGTCTTTTGGTTTTTATATCCGAAATTGTCGACTTAACCACTTTGTACTTCTTAGATAACTTAGTTGCAGATTCGGCTTTCTCTAATCGTTTATTAATCTCGTATTTATTTTTCATGGAAAGAACAACTCGTTTACGTTTAGGCATTTTAAATTGTGAACTAATAGAGCAAAATTAACACATAAGCATATAGCGCTGGTACAAAGTAGGCCAACACGGGACACTGCGTGGAGAAGCGAGAAGGTGGTCGCATCCCAATGAGGTGCCGAGGTAACAGTTCGGTTACGCGGTCGTTCGACGTTCGGATAATCGACGTTCTACTGTACTCGTTTACAGTCCCACAGTTAATGGGCCCCTCCATAGAAGGGAGAAATCGCAATTAGTTAGTTGTATAGTTTTCTTTATTGATGACTTCTTTTTAGGAAATTTTAACAGGTGCTGCCAACATATGTCTGGTTGGAGGTACGGAACTTATGTCATCCCTACCTTTGCTCGTCCGAAATGTTAGATTCGGTACGAGTCTTGGGACCGCATACAAATTGGAAGACCATATAAAGAAACAACTGGTGGACACCTTTTGTGGTCACAGTATGGAGAAGATAGCAGAACAAATAGCAAAAAAGTATAAATTATCAAGAGAAGCAGTCGACCAATACACATTGCTGAGCCATATTAAATGGTCATCAGGTATTCATTTCATTGCTGGATAAGACGCACTGAAGACAGAATTCTTAATTATTCTTTGATACCGCATCTTTTATTCTAAGGCTGATTAGAGGTTAAATTTGCTAGGCTGGACGTGTGCCATGGAGGCAGCTGAAACAGTCGGGCGATTTAGCCTTTCAAAAATATTTTGAAATTTTGTATTCTATAAGTTGAGAAAGATGGAAGAGCTTGTGATTACTACATTGTATCTATTTTTATGAGTAATATAAGGGGAAAAAGCTGAATATTGACCGTGTGACGGCGTAGAATAGAATAAGCGTTGTAAGAATACCCATTGCCGCTTATCATCCCGTAGGTGTCGTAAGAAGCGACGGAGGGAAACTGAAACAGAAGATTGACAACTTCTTGATAACTATCAGAGAACAGCATCTTCTTGATAACTACCCTCAAAATTATAAAAAACTGCGGTTGTCCACCCGCCTGCCAAACGTGCCAACTATGGCAAATATGAGGACATAAGGGTGTCAGAGGACCTCTGATAAACTGTAACAGTAATTATATATGAATCTTTTAAGTACCTACTTTTTACTAACCGATAAAGTTACTTTCTTAAATTAATAACTTAATTATTTTCAGCTCAAGAAGCGAAAGTATTTGACGACGAAATCACACCTACATTTGCAAAAGTTGACAAAAAAGACGCGATAGTAAGAGACGAAAAACCTAGATCCAATTTATTGTTGGAAGATTTGGCCACTTTGGCTCCGGTGATGGACGATGGATCTATTATCACCTCTGGTAACTCTTCGGTGGGTATGTTAATTTTTTAGAACATTGGGTGACAAACAAGCACACAGTCCACTTGATGGTAAGTTGGTAAGTGGATGCTGTGGCCCATGGACATCCACATTTATCTTCAATTAAGAATCAAAAAATAATAAAATAAAAAAAAAAAAAAAATATTTTTAATTAAATTAAATTTTTTTTTTTTTTTTTTGATTTTTTTTTTTTTTTTTTAAAATTTTTTTTTTTTTTTTTTTTTTTTTTATGAAAAAAATGCAAATGCTTTGTCACCCTTGAGGACTAAGATGGAATGCCTCGATTGCAATAAAAAGGGTCTCCGGTTCTCTACACTCACCATACGAAACACAGCAGCATTACAGTGCTATTTTACGCTGGTATTCTGTAAGAACGTGGTCCTGCCCCGGTCGAGCCGACTCATTCGTGCTATGTATAGATAATATAGCTGCAGCGTTGCTGTACCATGCACGTAATTGCGTCTATCTCTGTCATAATAATATATAAGTAGAATTATATAGCTCGTAAGATAAAAGCGCGTGTTTGAAATTTCATACAATTCTATGTAAAATCGTTAACTGCAATTTTAAGTACCTACTGATTTGTGACTGCGTTGTAACAGCAAACATCGTGTGGATTAGCATGTGTAATAAATTAAAAAAAAATGTTTGCACCTTTTTTCTAGTTACTGCCTAGTGCTCGCGGCTTCGAATACCAAAATTAATTATTGGATTTTTCTGTCAAGAAATTGTCAGATGTCGCCCGGGGTTAGTTAGTTGACTTTGTTAAAGCACGTAAAGCTGTCGGTCCTGTGCCGTTCCAGCAGACTATGAGAATAAGAGAATAAAGTGACTTGCACGTACACTCGGTTACTATAATCCTGTTCTGCACAGATGGCTAACCTCCACTCAGACTGTCTGTGACTTTACCTCGGTCAGGGGGACCTTTTATAATATTATTATAGTGTTAAAAATATTTTATTTATACATTCGTTTCTAGGCACCAGCTGATGGGGCCGCAGCTTTGATTTTAGCTAATGAAGAATCAGTGAACAAATTCAAAGTAACACCCATGGCGAGGCTTACGGCCTGGGCTTGTGTCGGAGTTGATCCCGTTGAAGCTGGCTTAGGAGCAGTCGTTGCTATCCTAAAATTACTTGCTGTTTCTAACAAGAAAATTAAAGATGTGGATTTATTTGAGGTATTATGATATAATAGGATTATACAATTTTCTTATTTCAATAGTTTTTATATATTTTATCCAAAGATATTTTATTTTATCGTATACTTACTAAAATATCTAACGTAATAATCTTACTGTGTTGTATATAAAAATTATACATCTGTAAACAATTAACGAAAATATTGATGATGATTACGCAGTAGTATTCTTTGATAGTAAGTCTGTGATGATGATATAAATTTTCATTTTGAAGCACGGAACTGTCAACATTAAATTTTTTTAAGAACATAACAAAATGGGTGCGTTTGGCAGAATAAAACGCTAGCAAGCGCTTATAAGCGCTGAAATAGTTTTCGGCCAGGACACGATTGCTACTTCAGTAGCGCTGACACAATCCGCCATTTTGCTTATTTAATTTGTTTGTTTTGAAATAGAGTTTATAAGTTGTTTTGTGCAATATTAGTTTTAAGTAATATAATGACATGAATAAACATATACATATTATTAAAAATTCATGATTGGTAAGTTTTTAATATGAATACTTTACAAACATATATTTAAATTAGGTTAGGTTCCCCGGTTAAAACTAACTTCGTGTCCTAGAGGAAAATAGCTACTTACGATTTGACAGCGCTTACCACTTACGATCGCCATTTTGCTTACAAGCGCTTGCTAGCGCTTTTTTCTGCCAAACGCACCCAATAATACCACGTAGGTAAAGCACTACGGCTCGAGAATACTGTTTTTTTATTATAGAAGAATATCTACATTGATTTTTTTTTATTGGATAAGGGTGACGAAACGAACATTCAGTCTACCTGATGATAAGTGGTTACTGCGGCCCATAGATATCTACATTTATCCTCGATTACGAATCACAATTCTTAATAAAACTGACATAAATACAATAAATACATACGTTATATTTTTTATATATCGACAACAAACCTGGTAGCATGATAGCTCTACCTGGTTCTGGTAGTTCATAAATAAGTGTTTTGTTGTTAAGTTTTTCGCGAAATGTGAAGCGGACGAGCCAGGGCAGGGTTTTTTTTATAGGATGGGGTGACAAACGAGTACACAGTCCACCTGATGGTAAGTGGTGGCTGTGGCTCATAGATATCTACATCTATCCTCGATTACGAATCAAAATGCAGATGCGTTGTCACCCGTGAGGACTAAGATAGAATGCCTCGTTTCCAGTAAAAAGGGTCTCCGGCTCTCTACACTCACCATACGAAACACTTCATTTAGCTTTGCTATTTTACGCTGGTATTCTTTGAAAGCGTGGTCCTTCCCCCGGTCGAGCCGACCCATTCGTCCTACAACTATACCAACAATACAGCTGCAGCATGACTCTATCACGTAAAAAACTTAAATACTTACCTACTTATATATTTTTTCACTCGTGTGATTGAGTAAGTTGATACGATATATTGACTAACGTTTCAAACAACAGATAAACGAAACGTTCGCCTCACAAGCAATAGCTATAGTTAAGGAATTGAGAATAGACCCAAGCAAAGTAAATGTGAATGGCGGAGCCTTATCGGTGGGAAATCCTGTAGCGGCAACCGGCGCGAGAATGGCAGCACATTTGTCACATCAAATACGGTATGTTCATTTTTAAAGGAATAACTAATTTATATCCAGCTTTAGGTACACAGCACGAATTACAGGTTTTATGTTTGTGTTTAGGGTTAATCAAATCTTCCTTGAATTATTTCGTATCGCCAATTCGGGTAATCTGTTATTAATCTCTATAATAAGACGTGTAAGAGTATCCACTACCCCAAATCATCCCGTGGGTCTCGTAAGAATTGACAGAGAGAAATTAAAATAGGCGGCCAGCAGCATCTTTCTGATAACAACTTAACACTTTCACTGTCCTGTTTTCATACACAATAATAAGACAATTGCATTGAACTATAGTACCCGGGACAGTAAAAGGGTTAAGATTATTATAAACTGCGGTTGTTACTCGCCTGCCAACCCAATCACTACCCCATATCTTCCCGTGGGTGTCGTAAAAGGCGACAGAGGGAAACAGGCGGGACAAGGGCAGCAGCATCTTCCTGATAACAGCAACTGTACGACAAAAAAACTGCGGTTGCCAACCTGCTCGACAAGCGTGGCAACTATGGCAATATACCCCCCCATGAACAATTACACAAATCAACGGCCCCCAGTCCCCGGCGGCCCCGCTATTCCTGGCTACGGTGGCGACCATGGTAACGGCGGGGCAGGGGGTGCTAAGAATCTCCGGTGGAGGTTCGGTTGCCACCTACGACGACTCGACCTGGCAACATTTAACGCACGCACCCTGAGGACTGACGAGAAGATCCTGGAGCTGGAAGAAGAGATAGACAAGTTGCGCTGGAATATTATAGGATTATCCGAGGTCCGAAGAGAGGGGGCGGACACGGTGATTCTCGAATCCGGCAACTTGTTCTATCACCGGGAGGGCGACCATCTGTCCCAAGGAGGTGTCGGATTTATCGTCCACAAGTCTCTCGTCAACAACGTTGTAAATATTGGGAGTGTGTGGACGAGGGTTGCGTACCTGATACTCAGAATCACCAAACGGTATTCGCTGAAGGTCATACAGGTTTACGCACCAACCTCGGCACATCCCGAAGAGGAGGTGGAGGAAATGTATGAGGATATTTCCAAAGCCATGCATTCCTCCAAAACCCACTACACGGTGTTGATGGGAGACTTCAACGCAAAACTAGGCACAAGAGAAAACGGTGAGCTGAAGTTAGGGAAATTTGGAGTAGGGCAACGGAACCGAAGGGGCCAGCAGCTGGCCGACTTTATGGAGAAAGAGGAACTCTTTATGATGAACTCTTTCTTCCAGAAGCGGCCCCACAGGAAGTGGACCTGGTCGAGCCCCGACGGTTCGAGAAAAAATGAGATTGACTTCATTATGACGACCAGACGCCAACTGTTCAGTGATGTCTCAGTGATCGCAAGGGTGAAAACTGGCAGCGATCACCGAATGGTTAGAGGCACAATGAACCTAAACGTTAAGTTGGAGAGGTCTCGTCTAATAAAGTCAACGCTCCGTCCCCCTCGTGCTCTAATCCAGAATCCCGAAAACTTTCAGCTCGAGTTACGTAACCGCTTTCAGTGCCTACAAGATTGCAATGCAATGGACGATATGAATGACAAGCTCGTGGAAACTGTTCATGCGGTCGGAGCTAAGTTCTGCAAGACCCGCCGCAGAAGAACACAAAAACTCTCCGATCACGCTCTTAATCTCATGGCTGTTAGACGGGAGATGAGGCTGCAATCGTCAACAGATTTGACAGCATACAGGCAACTAAACAGACATATCTCCAAATGCATGCGGCGAGACTTACGCAACTTTAATACTGCTCGTATTAAAGAAGCGATCGAGCGGAACCAGGGCTCCAAAGTCTTTGCCAGAGATCTGTCTGCCAGTAAGAGCCAACTGTCAAAGCTGAAGACTGAGTGTGGCAGCATCGTTTCCGGGACACCTGAGATTTTGAGTGAGATTGAGAGGTTCTATGGGCAGCTGTACACATCATCGTTGGAGCCACACGCAAGTGTGAGTAACGATCCAAGAGCAAGCCTTACCCGACACTATTCCGATGATATCCCGGACGTCAGTCTGAGCGAGATTAGAATGGCTCTCCAGCACCTTAAAAACGGCAGGGCCCCAGGCGACGATGGAATTACAGCGAAGCTTCTGAAAGCGGGTGGAACACCGGTACTTGAAGTCCTTCAGAAGCTCTTCAATTCCGTCCTCCATGGTGGCACTACTCCAGAGGCGTGGAGCAGAAGTGCGGTGGTCTTGTTCTTTAAGAAAGGCGACAACGCTCTCTTGAAGAACTACAGACCGATTTCCCTTCTGAGCCGCGTCTACGTGCTGTTTTCGAGAGTCATTACGAATCGTCTCGCACACAGACTCGAAGACTTCCAGCCTCCCGAACAAGCCGGTTCCCGAAAAGGCTTCAGTACCATAGACCACATACATGCGGCAGATTGTACAGAAGACCGAAGAGTACAATCTGCCACTTTGCCTGGCGTATGTGGACTATGAGAAAGCCTTTGATTCTGTCGAAATTTGGGCGGTGCTACAGTCCCTTCAGCGGTGCCAAGTTGACTGTCGGTATATCGAAGTGCTGAAGTGTTAATACAGTAGGGCTACGATGGTTATCCGAGTACAGAACCAGAGCTCGAAACCTATCCAACTGCAGAGAGGTGTAAGACAGGGTGACGTTATATCCCCGAAACTCTTCACCGCTGCATTGGAAGACGTTTTCAAGCTACTGGACTGGAAAGGATACGGTATTAACATCAATGGCTAGTACATCACTCACCTTCGATTTGCCGACGATATAGTCCTTATGGCAGAATCGCTGGAGGACTTAAGCACTATGCTCAATGACCTCAATAGTGCCTCCCAACGGATAGGTCTTAAGATGAACATGGACAAAACAAAGATTATGTTTAATGTCCATGTCACACCTATGCCGGTAGTTGTTGGGAGCACTATGCTCGAAGTTGTTGACGAGTACGTTTACCTGGGACAAATAGTCCGACTAGGTAAGTCCAACTTCGACCGAGCGGCCAATCGACGGATTCAACTCGGCTGGGCAGCGTTCGGGAAATTACGACATATCTTCTCGCCAGGTATACCATAATCTCTAAAAACTAGATTGTACAACCTGTGCGTGTTGCCAGTGATGACTTACGGATCTGAGACGTGGTCCTTTACTGCTGGCCGTATGAGGACGCTCAAGGTCGCTCAGCGAGTTATGGAGAGGGCTATGCTCGGAGTTTCTCTGCGTGATAGACTCAGAAATGAGGATATCCGCAGTAAAACCAGAGTGACCGACATAGCCCAACGGATTAGTAAGCTGAAGTGGCAATGGGCCGGCCATATAGCTCGAAGAACCGATAACCGATGGGGAAGAAAGGTTCTCGAGTGGCAGCCTCGTACCGGTAGGCGTAGTGTAGGGCGACCCCTCACTAGATGGAGTGACCACCTGGTAAGATATGCAGGAAGTCGATGGATGCAGGTGGCTCAGGACCGTGCTTTGTGGCATTACTTGGGGGAGGCCTATGTTCAGCAGTGAACTTGTGAAGGGCGGTAATGATGATGATGAAATGACGATGTCAGCATAACAGAGCTGCAGAGTCAGCGTTGCGATATTCTAGCTTTGTTAATTTGCCGACTTAGAAAAATATGTTCCTAGTCTGGATTCTTAAAACTTCAAGCAATATGATGCCCTAGTAAAACGAACGTTTGTCTTTTCAGACGTAACAACGCCCGAATAGCTGTTGCAGCTTCAAGCTGCGGAGGCGGTCAAGGAGTCGCTATTTTATTGGAATCCTTATAATGTCAAATGCATAATTATTACTTGCTTGCGCTTTTTATTTTATAGCACCAGTACCAAAAGTGAAGTCATAAGCGCTTTCTTTAGTTCCAAACCGTTGTTTAAACCAAGACTATTATAAAGGTTGACTTTAAATAACGAATTTTATATTGCCTTTAAATAATGAATATTAATTAACTTTGAATAAATGTAAATATTATATTTGTGACGAAATAGGAAAACCAATAACCTTATCTAATTTTGTAAGTTTCGGCAAAGAGAAAAATCTATACCGACGTGATGCCCAGTATAGGCATGAAATTTCCAAATACAAAACCAAAAAATTATTTTGTATTTTATGTTTTTTTTTTTTATATACACACTGTCAATCTGATGGTAAGTTGATGCTGTGGCCCACAGACACTTACATAATAACGGGTGGGCCAGAAAGGAGTACGATTTTAAAAACACTCTTGCGTTTGAAGCTTTAGAGAGGGGACTGCGCGGGTGGTGGGGTTAAGTAGCTCGGTTCTCGGAAATTTAGTCGCGATGGATCACTTCACGGGAGCGCAACGTACTTTCTGCGTTAAACATTATTATAAAAATCACGCGAGGCGCCCAGGACCGGCACATTGTAGTGTGCCGTGAGGAACATCCGGGTAAAGGGGTACACCCCGAGGCCCGAGACCTGCACGGCATGTATGCCCTGCAGAGGACAACAACAACAAAAATCACGATTCGTGCGCTATTGTTCGGCGTTTATTTCGACGTGAGTTTGGATTACATGACCTAAATCAGTGTCCGAAGGAAAGCGTGATTCGATCGTGGGTTAGAAAGTTCGAAGCTACTGGTTCGACTCTCAAACAGAAGCCTGCGGGACGCCCAAGGTCAACAAGAACGAAAGACACAATTGAACAAGTTAGAGCTTCAGTTCAACGTAATCCTGTTCTATCGACTCGAAAGCGTTCAGCCGAACTTGTGGTGTCCAGAACATCTTTGCGTCGCATTTTGTTGAAAGATCTGAAATTGCATCCGTATAAAATTCAACTTGTGCAGGAATTACAGCCAAATGATCCAATTTTAAGGAGAGCTTTTGTTGAAACGATGCTGGAACGCTTTCGGAGTTTCAACAATATTCTGTTCTCCGACGAAGCCCATTTTCACATAAATGGGCAGGTGAATAAACAGAATTGCCGTTACTGGGCTGCAGAGAACCCACGTGCAAAACTTCAAAAGCCTCTACATTCGCCGAAAGTAACCGTTTGGGCGGCCATGTCAGCGCACGGAATTATCGGACCCCACTTCTTCGAAAATCGACAAGGCCAATCTGTCACTGTAAATTCTGACCGATACATAGCCATGTTAAGGGATTTTTTCTTTCCACAACTGCAACAATTTGAAGCCTATAATCGTGAGACATGGTTTCAACAAGATGGCGCGACATGCTACACAGCTAATGCCTCTTTGACGGTCGTAAACGAGATGTTTGGTGAGAAACTGATATCGCGCCGAGGTGACATTGAATGGCCTCCTAGAAGTTCGGATCTTACACCACTGGACTTTTTTTTTTGTGGGGATACCTAAAAAGTAGAGTCTACTCCAATAACCCAGCCACAATTGACCAGTTGAAGACCAATATCCGGAAAGAAATGGCAGATATTCCCCGTGCAATGTGCCAGCGAGTTTTTACCAATTTGAGGTTCAGATTCGAAGAATGTTTGCAGTAAATTTTTGTAGAAATAAAAATTTGTATGTGAATTGTACTTAGTTTTTTTAATGATTTTTTCAAATTCGCAATTCATTCTGGCCCACCCTGTATATCCCCGATTAGGAATTAAAATGCATATGCATTTTAACCCCTGACACAGGACTACGATGTTGCTTCGTTTTCATAAAAAAAGGGAATCTGGGTATCCGAATGATTCAGATGTTTAATGTGAAAAATTATTTTTTTCATATTTTAATAACCTCTACAGTAGGATTGTCCCGTATGGTGGAGGCGTTTTACCACGTCGACAATGCGGATATGCATGGTATACAAGGTAAGGATTATGCATATCCGCAAGGCAAGGACAGGTTATGTCGGACTCGATAACCCGATGGTGTTCGGGCCTTCACCGCATATTGGCAAGGCCACGGGATTGCTTTCGCACACATCCGCGGCTTCACCAGCGCCGGCAGCCCCTCGGAAGAGATGCCGACAAGGGCATACACAAAGAACTTTAATCCCATACTGCTTATAATTTACGAGGGCGACACTAAAAGTTTTTAGAACTAGCCACTTGTAAAGGATATAATATAAGCATGCGGGTGTGCACTTGCCAAGGGTTTCTATTGTTTAACCTATGTCTAGGTCGTGCGTACTTACCTGGAGAGCTTATAAAAACCATGGTTGTACCAATATTAAAAAATAACACTCGTGATGCCTCCGTTGGGTCCAATTATCGCCCAATATCTTTGGCTACCGTAGTTGCGAAGGTTCTGGACAGTTTGCTTGATCAGCAACTCAGCCAACACATTCACCTACATGAGGCTCAGTTTGGTTTCAGGCCGGGGCTTTCAACTGAAACTGCCATACTGCAACTCAAGCATACTGTCCAGTATTACACTACGCGAAAAACGCCGGTTTACGCGTGTTTTTTGGACCAGTCGAAGGCTGGTTTCGTACAACGTGCTATGGGATAAACTTAACCAGGAAACTAGCACACCCAAAGAAGTAATTAACCTCTTCAAGTATTGGTATCACAACCAAGCTAACTGTGTGAAGTGGGCTGGCTCATATTCGTCGGAGTACAGGTTGGAGTGCGGGGTGAGGCAGGGCGGCCTTAGCTCTCTTCAACTTTTCAGCCTGTACATCAACGGTCTGATCGTGGAGCTCAGTGATGCTGAAGTTGGCTGCTCAATTGACGGTCTTTTTGTTAATAATATAAGCTATGCCGATGACATGGTTTTACTGAGTCCTTCGATCAGGGCCCTCGAAACACTAGTGGGCATTTCTGAAAGGTACGCGGCGGCTCATGGTCTCAAAAATAATTGTAATAAGAGTGGACTACTCGTGTTTAAGGCTGGAAATAGAAAAACTAAGTCTGTTCCTCATGTTAAACTTGGAGGAGTTACACTGAGTGGAGTCACCAAATTCAGATATCTGGGACACTGGGTCGCCGAGGATCTTTCTGACAACTTAGATGTTGAACGGGAACGTAGAGCGTTAGCAATGAGGTGTAATATGCTTGCCCGCAGGTTTGCTAGGAGTACGAATGAAGTTAAGATAACGTTATTCAAAGCTTACTGTCAGACATTCTACAGTTCTACACCTGCAGCCTGTGGACGAAGTGTACTCGCCGAATTCTCAATGCGCTACGTGTTCAGTACAACAATGGATTCAGGATGTTGGGGCTGCCACGATTTTGCAGCGCATCGCGTATGTTTTCTGAGGCACGCGTGGACAGTTTTCAGCAATATTACGCAAAAGAATAGCCTCCTTAATGCGTCGCGTGCGAGACAGCACCAATGGCCTCCTAGTTACCTTGTGATGAGGTACTGGAACACAGTGCATATGGGTTCCAGACCCAATACGTTTAATAATAAATAATAATTTTTGTGTAGTAATAATAAATGGATTCTGTGAATTTACTAACCCCTAGTTTTTAAGTGTACTAACAAAATGGGTGTACTTACCTGAATAATGAAATAAAATAAAAAAATAAGTTAAAATTTTGAAAATGTAACTCTTTGCCTATCATCATCATCATTACAGCCCTTCACAAGTCCACTGCTGAACATAGGCCTCCCCCAAGTAATGCCACAAAGCACGGTCCTGAGCCACCTGCATCCATCGACTTCCTGCATATTTTACCAGGTCGTCACTCCATCTAGTGGGGGTCGCCCTACACTACGCCTACCGGTACGAGGCTGCCACTCGAGAACCTTTGCCTATATTATTGTGTAATTGTGTATGTATTTTCACTGACCTCTAAATATACAGCGTACTTGTATATATATATATAGGTCAGTGATGTATTTTATTAATTTGTCATTTGTTTACGCTTTGGCGGCAAATTAAAAACTGTGTCACGTCAACATGAATTTAATGCTAGAAAATTTTCATACAATGATTTTTTAAGACTTTCGATGTCATTTAAGTCAACAAGAAAGTTATGATAGAATTGGCCTTTCACGATGAAGCCCCATCTCGTGCCATAGTTTACAACTGGTATAATGAGTTTAAACGTGGTCGCACTAATCCCACCGAGATCTGCGTGAGGGACGGCTATGGCGACGACTGAAGATAACATCAGTGTTGTGCGGCGTATGATAGAGACTGACAAAAGAGTGACTTATCAACAGATTCAGACAAGCTTAGGCATCGGTATGAGTTAAGTGCACAAAATCCTCCATGAACATTTAGCGGTCAGGAAGCTTTGTGGCCGGTACCTCATAATTTGCCAGAGACCCGAAAACTTCGTCGTGTTGATTGGTGTCGTGAAATGGTTTAAAGATTTAACGGAGGTGACTCAAATGCTGTGTTCGACATACTTACGGGTGACGAAAGGTGGATTTATTGTTATAATCCTGAAACTAAGAGACAGTCCGCTGTCTGGGTGTTTCCTTCCGAGGAGTTGCCAACTAAAGTGAAGAGAGGTCGAAGTGTGGGAAAAAGATGGTGGCCTCCATCTTTTTCCCACACTTCAACCTCCCGACCGAAGTCGGGGCTATAGGTCGGGTGATCCAGTAATTCCGTCTGACGTCACCAAGTAATCGATTGTCAGCTTGGCGGTGTTGGACGAGGCGATGACGTGGTAAAGGAGGATCCTACTGCGAGGCCGTTTCTTCACAACTTTTTCCACAAGTGGCAAACAATTGTTAGTGTTCCACTCTGCAGGAACTGTTTTTATCCTCTAAAACAATTGTTGCGTAATGACCTGTCCTTCCGAAGAATGAGACCACCACCTTGCGTTTTTTATTTGTTTCCGAAAATAAAATAAAAACTTCGAAGAAAACTTTTTATGGACGCCGAGGAAGTG